ATCAGAAAGAGAGAAGACATTATTTTTCTATAGGGGAGAATTTATTCCGACAAGCGTGATACCCATTGTGAAGATCTCAAAGAAGTAAGCACTGGTAACTCGTGCAACGGCTACTGTCTGGTGGATCTTCTTTATGTAGCATTTTTGGATATTTCATAATCTAATGTACACAACACCTTCACGCCAACATTTTTGGAGAAGGAGCATACTGGCGAATGGAATGTAATCCTTAATCGCCGGTCAAAAGGAGAAATATAGTACGAAATACCGGTACTGAAACGTGAGAAGGTATCAGGACAGGACGGTCTGTATCCAACTCTTTTCAAAGAAGGTGGAGATACATCTAACAAAGCTCCTTGGTGCTTTATGGAACGAAGAGAAAGTGCTTGCAGAATGGGGCATGCCGACAGTTCTGTCTGTCTTCAAAAAGGGTACGTGAACGCTGTGTGAAAACCACTGTGACACCAGCCTGGTAGCTGTGGCATCGAAGGTCCTTTCTGGTTTTATGCTTCGACGATTGACTGAACACTGAGAGAGGCAGATCCACGAACACCAGGTTGGGTTTCGTTCTGCAAAAAGATGCATCGATTACACCTTCACCCTCCGACAGATTCTGAAACAGCGACACTGCTTCCAGCAACCAACAATGGTTGTGTTCCTTGAAAGCTGCCTTTGACTCTGTGGACTGTCAAGCACTATGGCAGTGTCTGTGGAGCAAAGGTATCCACCATATATTCTTGACTCTCCTTGAGGCGCTGTACACCAACTTCCGCGACCGTTTAAAGGTCTACGGGAAGATCTCGCCTGAGTTCACCATATCAACTAGTGTCAGGCAAGGCTGTCCTTTTCCACCTTTCCTCTTCACCTTCTTCATTGGTACGATCATGGAAGACTCACTATCAAACTCTAACGCCTGTGGGGTCGAAGTTCGTCCGGGGCGTCCGCTCACAGATACCGACTACGCAGAAGACGTAGCTCTTCTTGGATATGACCTCGTGATAAATAATTCCGCCTTACGATTTGACACGCGCCTTACATGTGCAAAGTGTAAAGTGCTGCTACAAGACTGGGTAGGCTCGAACCCTAGCCTCATGCTTGCAAATGAGTCACTTGAAGTAGTCGACAAGTTTGTGTACCTGGGCACCTGTATCAGTCTCGGTGGTCTCGCGTAAGATGATATTTCCATCCGAATTGGGAGGGCCAGAGCAGATTTTGCGAACCTGTGTCACCTGTGGTGTAGGCATGCCATCAGTTTATCCGTCACGGGTCGAGTTTACAATACGGCGGTGCGCTCCATATTACTATACGGATCAGAAAACTGGCCGCTGCGCGCTGAGGAAGTCAAACGACTTTCAGTGTTTTACCATCGATGTCCTTGGACCATTGCTCGAGTCTGGTGGGAACTACGTACAAGTAATGCTGAAACAGGTCGAATGGTATTCGGAGGAAATAACTCACCCATGATTGATGAACTGATCACACTGCAATAGTTTGGCTGACTTGGCTACGTGTTCCGTATGTCATTATTCAAGGGATTTTTTCCACAAAATTTTTTGAAGGGTCGAAACGAGCCAGAGGAAGTCAAACAGTAACTTGACAGCGAAATGTTGAAGCCATAACCAGCAAACTCAGCTGCGCTGGTCATTGGCGTCTTCCTGGATGAGCACCACCAACCGGGCCACATCAATGACTAGAGACATTGTCAGACACGGCGCAGTCGCGCCCTCAATGGCACTTGTGCATCCAAGCTATTGCCTTTGATTCATAGTTCCCTTCCCAACCCCCCACTTAAAAGTCCTCTAACAGATCTGTATTTGTGCACCAAGTTATCAGCTCTCGCCTCCAATGCGCAGCTATTTACCCCACCTGCCCAAATCATCGGTGGTCGAAACCTTGGCAGCTACAACCATTGTACGACAACCACGTGGTTCCTACAGCTGATGATAATGAAGGTGATGATGATTTGTTTTGTATTGTTGTCGTTGAAGGTAAGACCGTGCGCTGTATTCATAAATCTTGAAACACTAGCTTCGTGATCAACCAAACTAGCCTCACAGATGTTGACGTCTACATAGGCGAACGTATCAGATGCCTTTGTTTATGATGTTGATAGTGCGCTGGAAGTAGGTAACTCCAGTGGTTACTCCAAATAGGACTCAGCAAGTTGTGCAGGTCTGGTAGCCTCGAACTGGTGTAAATTTAGAATGTCATGATCTTAGCATTAAGCTGTTAAAGTATGAATATTTTAACTTCGTTATAAACGGAGTTTTTAAACCTTGTTGGGACAAAACAGTTTCCAAGAGTTCTCGTACAAATTATGTTGACCATTAAAATCGCACTTTTTGAATTGTGCCTGCCAACGATACTTGCAAACAGTGGGGACAGAAGCGTAACTTTCAAGGCTTCCTGTATCAACAAGCGCGTGCCCTGGAACACCGTTTACTATAGTGATTGTGGTTTCGGGGCTGCAGCTCTTCGATCACCGGCTTCCTCCACACTTTCAGGGCTGTAACAGTAGCGGAAGCGGACAATATCATCATCGTCACCATCTTCAAAGACAGCAAAATCAGTGTTAACACTGAAACCTCACTGCCGTACGACCATAAGGTTCGTCTAATCATATTTAAGGCCCTAGAGTTAAAAGAAGGGAAGAGTGGGTAAAGGAAGGGGACCTAGTGCTGGCCTATGTCAAGCATTCTGAGGTGCTTGCACCTCCGGGGGCTCAGTCAAATAATCTGGAAACTGACAGCACGAACACCACACATCGGCTAGCAGACAAAAGAAGTTTAGGTTCATGCTGTGTATTCACGGCGAATTCTGAAACAACGCACCTGCCCTTCAAAGTCTACACAAGACCTCTCTGGCTGAGTGTGAGGTTCGTGGGTGTCTGGAGTACCCACAGGAGAAACGTTTGCTACCTATGAGTGCCACGGTATTGTCACACTGGTGTTGGGTTTCCAAGCACGAGTTTGATGATATACATCACACTGCAAACACTGGGTGTGAAAGCCGTCTCGTAAGACAATGAATACCTATGCGTCATATCTAGTGTTTTCGCCTTCTCTACAGTTTTAAAACCAGTCTGTTGTGCTTCAGTAGCCTGCAGCAAGTGTAATCAGAAAGAACCCTCGTGGATAATGAAATTCCTGCAACTTTACCTCGACTTGCGTCATTACAAGTCATCCCGTCCTTTGGTATGCACTTTGCACTCACAAGGGAGGTTTATGTTCGTAGTTATGCAGTCACTGAGCACGTCACGTTTTACGTACTTTGGAAGTTGTATTGGTTCTGGCTGCAGTATGACAGTGTACGAATCTGCAAGGTTCACGTCACGTTCGCTAATTTGAGTCACCTATGGCGTTAAAGCGGCCTATCCCTGAGTCTCAAGGGAAGTGTGAATCAGGCTATAGTACGGGCTGTTTTGTTTTATGGCTGTGAGACTTGGTCTGTTCGAGATGGCCCAAGTCGTAAGAGCACGAATTTACTGACCGGAAGGTCCGTGGTTCGAATCCGACCTCCGCCTCTCGACTCCCCCTGTCTAGGCTTGGGCAACCTGGCAGTATCCCAGTCCTCGTGCTTCCTTCGGGTGGCATGGCAGCTAGGCACCGAAGGGGTGCTACAGCTGAACGCTTTCTATCTTTTCTGTTCGAGAAGTGGAACTGAGACGTCTTCGACAATCGTTGCTTCAGGACCATAGCTCGTGTGGGTTGGTTGGGTCGGCACTGGTGCCGACTGCTGCGTTGGTTGCGTATGCGTAACCATCGTTTGCTGAAGAGAATGCTGTCTTCCATGCCCAATTCAGAGTGGCGGAAGCAGAGAGGTGATCAACCCTTGACCTGGTATAAGGATATGGAAGTGATTGCAAAACATTTGGCTGTTGTCGATGCTACTCGCCTTCCAGGAGACCGTGTGATTCTCTCTGCGCCTGATTGGAGACACTGCAAGATATTGCTGCCAACCGATGTCAGGGGCGATCTTTTTGTCAGTTTCTATCCAGATTGCCTGAGTGAGTGTCTGGAGGTTAGACACCGGGGCGAGATGGCCGAAGTGGTTAGAGCGCGAATTTACTGACCGGAAGGTCCGCGGTTCGAATCCGATCTCCGCCACTCGACTTCCCCTGTCTAAGCTTTGGGCTACCTGGCAGTATCCCAGCCCTCGTGCTTCCTTCGGGTGGCATGGCAGCTAGGCACCGGAAGGGTGCCACAGCTGAACGCCCAGGTTAGACACCTCGGAGCGATTGTGGTAAGCTAGCTTTAAGTCCCTTCTCTGTCCACTTTTATTGTTTTCTTCACAACAAGGCAGCGAGTCGTCAATGCTGAACACTGATGCTTCATCGAGCCGCTAGTTCTGATGAACTCCCAGCCGCTGTGTTTAAAGATTGTGGTGAAATCCCCAATCGATGCCTGTCTAACATATTTGCCTCTGTGTGGATGAAATAGGCCGTCACAACCAGCTACAGTGAGTCGATAGTAGCGCTCAGTTTCCTTAACGGTGCTCGCAGTGAGTATGGCCAAATTCTGAGCGTGGCTCATTTTCCGTCGTCTCACGAAAACGTGTGAAGACAGGACCCGAAAAGAGCCAGCAGAATTGCGGCCCGAACTATACTGCGTGGACCACATCTTCACACTCCATTAAGCGGTAAAACAACAGCTTGCTGATAGGTGCAATGCAATCCTAATGTACCTTGACGTCAAGAATGTGTTCGTTTCTTCCGACTGATCCGTTCTTTTTAACATGCATGCGCAGCAGTGTTTGTATTCAACTGCTTGTGGGTTCAGAGGAATGTGTAGGAAGCTCTTCAGAAGCTTTCTTACAAGCAGTGATGAACGACAAGGGTATCAACTTCCTCCGTTTTCCGCGGCGACGTGTACGCGATTGAAAATAACTTTTATTTTCCCCACCTGTATCCAGGCACATGAAGGAGCTGGAGGCTTCGCCTTAAAACCCAAGCACCTGCATGACGGTTTTAGCGCGACAGAGTACACTCTGCACCTCCGCTGATGACTGCCGCACGCTCAACCACTGAGTCGAACACAGTGAGTTTCCTTCGATTACTTGATAAAATTTTCACAGGCAGCTCCTCAACCGACGAAAACTAGTCTGCGCTATAACCTTCTGGCTGGTGGCTTGGCTGGCTGTGTTGCAAAATCCACGATAGCCCCACTAGATCGAGCTAAAATCACATTTCAGTGTGAGTTTATCAAATGCTGAACCTTTAAGGATTTATGCGCTTTCACTCTGCAATTTATAGCTACTGTCCGGCCCTTCACTGTGCGCGAATTATACCGTTTCCTTGAAGAGAGTGTTGTTGAACAGGGCTTCTTCAGTTTATGGCGAGGCAACACCGCCACTTTATCCCGCATTTTCCCATATGCGGCGATCCAGTATTCAGCCCACGAACGTTACAAACACGCATTGGGAATCGATCTTCCGGATATGTCACACATGTGAGTCTTGTATCCCATGTATGCATTTTGTGGTGTGACACTGTACCATCAGTGAGAGTTGTTGTCCTCTTAAGTATCAGGATCAAAAGGTCACGAGAAATCTCCGTATTATCTCCTACTTTATTGGGCTGCTGACTTCAATATCCCAATGCTTATTTTAACACTGGTGGAAACACCTGGTTGCGTATCAGATGAGACCCTCCCTGTCAACACCATTTTTGACATCATGCACATGGGATAAACTATCGGATATCAGTCTGTGATCAGAGGACCAACTACCCGATCGTGTAGATGACTGTCAATCCTCCGACTGGAACTCCAGGGACATGATATATCAGTGAGTGAGGACAGTGAACGGCCTGATTCATTCGCGGATGCTGAAACTTCCACTTCGTTGGATATCCATATTCGTTAGACTTCAACCGACTGGTCTAGCGTGTATCTGCCTCACCCCTATCCCCCTTTATGTTGGTGACCACACTGGTAACATTTATGCATTGAGCTCGTGATATATAGTTGAAAAAATAAGTTTAATCGAGCTGCGATAGTGCAAGTTACGTTACTCTGTGATTGAAGTCATCCAGATATGGTGTGATTTAAAAGCTCTACTGAGCTCCACGGTCCCAGGGTGATTATCCATACTAACATCACACATATTGGTAACCACAGGCTGTGTGAATCATCTCTCGCGGCAAGTGAGGCACAACGCACTGACGATGAGGATAGAGTCGGTCACTACTCGGTGAGCTGTAAGAGGAGCGAAGCCAGAGTTTCCGCCAACATCATAAGTTACATTGAAGCATGCTTCTATATTTCAAATATCGTTCGGACGTAAGGATGAAATGACGCTAGTGCAGTACGTTCGGGTAAAGAGTATTATGTACAATCGCCTGTGGTATATGCATAACTGCTTATCCATCAATGGTCGAGTTTACAATGCTGCAGTGTGTTCCATATTACTATGCGGGTCAGAAGCCTGGTGACTGCGCGGCGAGTACGGTGTTTGACCACCGATGCCTTCGGAGCATTTCACGAGTCTAGTGAAGACAGTGCATCAGTGATGCTGAACTACGTCAGGTGGCTTTCAGAAGAAACAGCTCACTCATGATAGATGAACTGTTCACCCTGCGTCGGTCGCGCTGGCTTGGCCACATGCTCCATGTGCCAGTCTTTCTTGAAGGGTGGAAACGAGCCAGGAAAAGTCGAGCAGTGACTTGACAGTGAATTGTGAAAGCCATTATCAGCAAACTCAGCTGTACAGGTCATTGCCGTCTCCCTGGATGAGGATCCCGAGACGCGACACATCGGTAGTTATAGGCATTGTCAGTCACGGCCCAGTCGTGCCTTCGATGGCGCTCATGTATCCAAACTATTGCCTTCAGTTCATAGCTCTCTCCAATTAAAAATCCACATGCGGCCCTATATTTACGCGTTAATTATATCAGCTAACGCCTCCAATACACAGCTAGCTACCTCACCTGCCCAATTTGTCGGTGAACGAAGTCGTGGCAGCTACCGTTTGACCACCGATGCCTTCGGAGCATTTCACGAGTCTAGTGAAGACAGTGCATCAGTGATGCTGAACTACGTCAGGTGGCTTTCAGAAGAAACAGCTCACTCATGATAGATGAACTGTTCACCCTGCATAGGTCGCGCTGGCTTGGCCACATGCTCCATGTGCCAGTCTTTCTTGAAGGGTGGAAACGAGCCAGGAAAAGTCGAGCAGTGACTTGACAGTGAATTGTGAAAGCCATTATCAGCAAACTCAGCTGTACAGGTCATTGCCGTCTCCCTGGATGAGGATCCCGAGACGCGACACATCGGTAGTTATAGGCATTGTCAGTCACGGCCCAGTCGTGCCTTCGATGGCGCTCATGTATCCAAACTATTGCCTTCAGTTCATAGCTCTCTCCAATTAAAAATCCACATGCGGCCCTATATTTACGCGTTAATTATATCAGCTAACGCCTCCAATACACAGCTAGCTACCTCACCTGCCCAATTTGTCGGTGAACGAAGTCGTGGCAGCTACCACCACTATACGACAAGTACGCGGTTCTTACAGTTGATGATAGTGATGATGGTGTTTTGTATATCTGGTGAATTTCAGCAGAGTTCTCCGTCAAGACCAACTTGATCTGCGTAGAAAAAAAGCGATGTTCTGTGTAACAAGGCTGAGTTATGATCTATTTGTACGGGAAGCCTTTGTGTTCCTTTTTCTTTTCCATGAAGCGCTCCTGAAGTGCATTTATTGTGTGTTCCCTGGAATTTATAACGAATAAGGTTCACCGAATCGGTCATATTAATGCGAGAACCAGCCTACTGACTTTAGTGACTTCTGCTGCATGCTGCAAGTAAGGCACCACACGACGGTTGTTGTGGCATGAGAATGATTGTAAGTGTCTAAATCATAGTTTTACATGGTCTGGGATGCTGCCAGGGCGTCCACGTTTAAATAAGAGAATCATTAGACTCCTCAGCGCTTGACTTAAGGGTCTAACCGCAATGCGGCGGTGGTTGGTGTGCTTGGTGGTTGGTCTTCCTAACCTATCGATGAATAAAGTTGTAGGCTGATGTACCTGCGTTCATGAAACGCGAAGCGTTGCAGACCCATCAGGACATCCTCAGCTGCCATCGGTTCATCTTTAGGGGTGCGTTAGGTTCCTATCGGAACATTATAATATACCTATGAGGTCACCTCCAAAATTTAATCGAGATACATCCAGAAAAATTCCAGGGGAGCGAGTTAACTCGATCCAGAACGAACTCCTAAGCCATTGGATGAAGTGTCACAAAAATGTTTGTTCTATGTATCATGAATTCAATCCTACAAAATGGGCGTTTATAACCGATAATCAATCTCACTGGTCTCCCAGATAGAGTTCCTCGCGTACCTCAGGATTAATCTGTACATTCTACATTCACCGTTTAGTCGAGCATTGGAGGATGTTCCTGAACCCCGCAAGACAATTCAATGGAGGTTCTAAAATTTGCCACAGTTCTCTCGTAGTATCGATCGCACACCATAGTCCCTCGCCAATCTTATGATCGTGACATTCGAGTGTACTGTGACACTCCGAGTTTACCAGCTTCTACACTAGCCTGTCTACCAGTTCATGGTCAGCGTCTTAAGTAAGCTCGCAGTTTGTCACATTTGCTTTTCGGGTTCTGCGTGTTCTGCACTATTGTACTCTCCATCTGTTCGGATGTGACCTATCCAGTATGCGCTACATGTATCACGTTGAAAGTTCCGAAAGTGTACACCTCGTGACTGGTATGAGACCTGCATCTTAAAACCTTATCCTAGTTATCCGTGATACGTTGCGTCCTACAAAGCTTACCCTAGCACTGTCCTTACGTCTGTTCCATGCCAATCGGTGTGACTGAGCAAGCTCCTGGTTGCAGTTTTACTCGGTAAGCACTAAACGATCCTTCTGACATCATTGTCCTTTTCTGATGTTTTTGAATGGTGTACTGTTTTTGGTGTAAATCTTACCATATTTGTTTTTTGTGTCACTCTTGTTTTAGGAGACTTTCGGATTTGCGTCTTCGACGGTTCCTTGCCGGTTGCATGGCAGGCACAACATGTGTTGTCACCACCTACCCCTTGGACTTTGCCCGGGCCCGTATGGCTGTGACAACGTCCAAGAGGTAAGCTGCTGTCATGATTTCACCACTACCAGAGTGCCTTGAGCACTTTTTTGTATCCGTACCCTAACTTGGAAATAACGTTTTCCAGCTGATTCCTTACATCCGTCCCCGGTACATTCATCACGGTTTAGATGGCTGGCAGCCGTTTCCAGAGTGCCCAGAAGCTGACTACACCTGATTTCTGCAAGCTGGGAGGAAAGCAGTCTTGTAAGCTGCCCTTTTAGCCGAAAGTTCTTTGAATAAAATAAAGTTGTTGGTAATGTGACTTTCTTACTCCATATCGCCTCCTACAGTGCATGGCTGACAAGATGCAATGAGTCGACTCCAGCGTATTGGACAATACTCATTATTCATGTTCACTCCGATGAAAGAGACTTCAATTATGTCAGTAGGCATTTCTCTTCCCCTGAACCTGTTCTGGGTTTTTACACATGAAACCGAGCCTATTCACACATACAACGCGAATCTGGCCCTGGAGATGGGTTAATGGGAGCATGGATTATTGAAGCAGTGGTGTAACCGAACTTGAGAAGGAGGGTCAGGACAGATGAAAACAAGGTATGCTTATTTGAAAAAGCTGTCCTCCAAATGGAAATATATCTCTTTTGCACCGCAAATCACTTCATCAATGGTTCAGCTTTTTTCTTGGTGTTAATTGAATAGTACTCGAGTTTTTGTCAAAAGTTTTCCCTGTCCACCATCGAATGACCCACTTCCAGATTGTTTGTAACTTTAACTTCAGAGTTATGAAATCCACATCGTGGATTCCAAGTTTTCCATACATTGGTAAAAGGACTTCTGCTTAATGGCGGCACCATTGCGCAGTTAGCTGTAATCCGAACTCTGCTACTTTCCCTGTTTCGAGGTTTGATTCCGATGTCGAGGTAGTTGGTATCTGGTTTCAGGTAAATGAGAGATTCATAGAAATTTAAGCAAAATTTGAAAATTTCTCCTGTTCTGCTGCAATTATTCTGGTTGTTTCTACCCACAATTGTATCCGGTGTAAGCGCCACTCTAAATAATGGTTTTACCTAGCCATGAAAACACTAGTTTGGAACACAGCAGCTCCCGACGCACAACAGTCTGCAGAGATCTTTACTTACTCGTATTCCGGTTTAGAAATGACCTCAATGGACAGAAAACTCAGGGAATACTTGTCCACAGCAAGCTATCTTCAGCTGGTCTCTGGGACGGCGGTATCCAACCGTAAAAATGACATGATCGAAAGATTTCCGGTTTCCACTGAGGCGTTGATGAGCAACATAGTTGGATATCGTATTGCACCAACCTATGGACCAATTTTTGCAGGTTTTCCACTCGTCGAGCCTCGCAGTTTTGATGCAGAATTCTGACAAAGATTAATGCAGAACTTCTTTTATCGATAACTGTGCCCCAAGTGATAATGATAGTCGTTTGGCCTTAACACCCTTTCGGTACTTAGCAGCCATACTGATGAGGAAATGTAGAGGTTAGGTTCGAACCACGGATTTTTCCGTCAGTAAATTCGAACTCGACGCGCCTCGAAATGGTGCTGGTAATCAATTATCCACCCAACGGGCCACGCAGTTTGATGAAACCTAGCCACTTCAAATTCCACATCTTGCACGTGTTTGCAGGCTAACAGTCTACTGGACAATGTGGCACGATAGCACAAAAGTAATAAGCTCATAACATCACGACGGTGCCGAATGCTGAAATCAACCTGTCTATGTCGGTCACTTTAATTCCCTTTTCAACTTATGGGAGGATAAGGATTGATAACGATTCGAGTTGCTTGGGACTATTGGTCATTTTCCTGACCTACCTTCCGACATCTTCGGGTATCTTGTCTGTTTATCGGCTAACCTTTATTAGCGATACCGATAACATTCGCTAGGCATTTCACGACCAATGTGATGTCCGTCCTCCCGGCAGCTGAGGCCAAGAAGAGAACATTGGTTGCTCCAGTTAGGAGCACCGCTGAATCACGTGTGACAAAACCTAATGCATTGAACCAAGTAGTTGATATCCACTTCGTTCTGAGGGTATGTGACTTATTCAGTCACCACTGTTAAGTTAGCGGGTGTTCATTTCATCTTGTCGGATTCACATCCTCATCCTCATTGACAATAACATAAGCCACTTTGCTAGCCCAAAGGAAAGAGGGACTGCTCTGATGCCAGTCTGTGGTAAAATCCCCAATTTCTTACGCTAGGCAGCCATAATGCAAGCATTGTATTTTTCCAGCCTATTTACTCCGTTCTGGAATCCAGGTTGCACTAGTAGCACTTAGATTTGATTTACTCTTTTCCTTGTCCGCCATATGTTACCCTGTATGACAAACTGGATGCTCATCAGAGTAACAGCAGCGATGACATTTTATAAATCAGTCCTCATATTCGCCATATGATTGTTGGAAGAGCCTTGATTGATCGAGGTGTGTTCGCGACAGTAGTATACGGAAATTCAAAGCATATTCATACCGAAGTCTCGAGATCCGCTGCACCATCTTTACTGGTCCACAAAGTAAACGCTACAACTACACTGCTATCATATCATCTGTGTTCATTGTATTCGGCTCCCTTATCTGTAGTTTTCCTCATCTATTCTGCTCTGCTAGCTACATTCGCATTGGTCTGTTCCAGGTACCACAATGTCATTCACGCCCTTCGCACAGTAACCACAGAAGAGGGCGCACGGGCATTGTATCGCGGTTTTATTCCTGCGATTCTTGGAATCATCCCCTACTCAGGGATCGCATTTTTCACTTTTGAAACGCTCAAGGAACATCGATTAAGTGGGTTTCCCCTCAGAATTATCGGTGTCTGAGAGTTTACAATTGTTTTTACACTTCTTATCTTCCCTAAGCCAGTGAATCGGTGTTTTCGTGAAAACTCCACCTTGAAACTCAAACATCTCTAGTACACTACTGGTTGAGGGCTAATCTGATTACAAGCGTCTGTTTTCATTCGACCAGTGTTGAGGACCTGATGGAAATACACAGTCATTCTTCCAAAAACCATTATCCTGAATCCTGAGGCGGTTTCGAATTCGAAAAATCCGGTAGTAGATTAATACAAGCCCCAAGACGCGGTCAACAATCGTTGATATAGTCAACTTATACTCACTGGTTGTGGGTCTGGTGGCCGTTGATCTGTTCGCTGGACTTGACAGTCGGCTTGCAAGTCGTGCAAGCAGATCAACGACCAACGAATAAATAACTCACAAACACACTTGAGTCACCAATATTCCGACACATTGCCAACTTTTGTTCACTCCAGATATCATGCCGTTGGTTTTCAGCAGCGCACTCTCATATCACATGACCCGGACGCTAGGGTGATTACTTCACACAAGAAAGTTGGCTTCATTATGCAGGGATAGTGATTGTCGGCTGTGTTTTGTGCGTGAATCCAACAGTGTGTTAAAGCTGAAAGGACTGGCTAACTTAACTATCTGGTTCGTTGATTCTACTGGAAATCGCAGGCTTGTTTCACAGACTACCGGAAAAGAAACTGCAAGTCATTTCAAGTTTAGTCCGGAACTAACTGCTGGTGACGAGGGTTAGTGCGATAACGGTGTGGATAGTACAGACAGTTATACTTGATGATTGTCGGCTCGGTGGCAAACGGAATTCCTATTCTGATGGGGATAAAAGGCCATTTCGACTACAACTGTCTTCTAGGTGATCCCGCAAGGTTTGCTTTCCCAAAGCGGACTACAATGGAAAGAGTTCACGCTGCAACAGTTTTTCCTCGAAGTGCGCTTACTGTCGACGGGGTTATTAATGAGGAGGTAATGTATACAACATCATAATAAACAATTATTTTCTTAAAAACAACCAAGTTACTGTGCCATCTCAATGTCCAGCTATATGACGACGTCGGTTCTATCACATTTTTTCACTCTATGGTCATGGGCGAGTCTGCCAGTTATTTCAGTCCCATATATTGATGGAAGAACTGGTGGTGTCTTAACCTTGGTACTTCCCTTGGTTCGCAAGACATCTGTTAGTTCAAGTTGTGCCACACCTGATTGCTTTCTCTGATTTTGTCATTTCCTGCAATCATGGCCATCTGTCACTCCATGGCTTATAATGGCGTTCAGAACCACCAAGGGACCATTTCTAATCAATCTGCGTTACTTCGCTGTGTGCATGAAGATTATTAAAAACTAATAATCCCGTCGTTGTCACTTTCATTTTCCCTTTTCTTAATGATGACTGAAAATTGCCTTCCGTTCGCTTATCACAGATAGACATATGGCCGTTCTGAAGACTCGGCCGGAGAAACTGAGACCTTTCGAGAACCTATGTTGTGGTGCCTTTTCCGGTGTCCTTGGTCAGACAGCCTCATACCCATTGGATATTGTCCGCAGACGAATGCAAAATGCAGCAGTTACAGGTATCCGAACGTTCAAATTCATTCTCACCGTATTTGAGGATGAACTCCTTCATCGATGCATTTCGTAGCTAAGTTCTTTTCTTTTTCAAGTGTGATCTCCAGTGCACAGCGGTCTTCTTCAACATTGGTGCATTATCTGTTTTTTGTACATTAAACCGCCAATTCGTCAGCATCATTTTCTAGAAGGCACAGAGTAGCGACGTCAATTAGTTTTGGGAAAGGTTGGTAAATAAACGATAGATGTCCGTTATAGAGAAGCTCACTGGCGACAGACGGGATTTTGATGTTCCAGAAGAGTAACGCATCAGGGGGAAGACTTCCATCCAGTCCGACCAGAGTTCTATCTTAGCGGGGACCCACACAATTTGAGTTAGTGCCTTTTTCTGGTGCAAAAGTAAAGTGAACGATAGTTTCGTTAGATCAAGCGGACTAAATAGCAAAATAGTCATATTTGACTGACGCAGACTTTTACGTGTTTGATTGCGATCGTGCATTGTATCATCTTCATTACCTCGCTCGAACTTAGTAAATTCTAAATGTTCTACTTCCAGGTCATCCGGAATACTTAAACAACATTTGGCACACAATGTACATTGTTTATTCCACCGAAGGAGTGTTTCACGGTCTATACAAGGGTGTTACAATGAACTGGATCAAAGGCCCGATCGCAGCTGGAATAAGCTTCACGGTGTTTCACCAATTGCAACACTTCTTGCACTGGTATGACAGGAAATCCGCTCACGATAATGGCGATGGATAGCGCTTGTATCTCTCAGTTCCCGCTTTCGCTATTCTCATGGCACAACAGCTAGATATGCTGTTCACTGCATTTTTACGTTGCCACTGGTTTCTAAATTATTTTCTTACCGATAAGAAAATTACGTATTTTCCGATTCTGATCTGCCAATTAATTTTGTCCTCGGACTGACAGTTCACTACAACGATCCACTGTGCTTTTTTCTGCCCTGAATCATCCACAGGTGACTGCTGTTTTCAACTCGGGGACATCTGATTTCCCTTGTTGTCTCCTCACCTCGGACCGCCTTATTACACATACATATGTCTTTCAGTAGAAACTTCTCGTTCTCCATTCCCATTTGCAAGTGATGTGCACTCTACAGTCACTTCGTTGCGTCTTATTTATGTACGATCTTACTACCACTCTAGCGTTGGCAAGTGTCAAGCCCGATTGTATGCATAAGCTTTTACTGTTTGAAATCGATTCTTGTTTGATTCGCTTCGCCCGTACTTTAGTTGAACAAATTCTAATAAATTTTGGTTCAAAGTAAGGCAGCGAATTGTTGGGTTTCACATCGGAACTGATGTCCACTGGCCCGAAATTAGGTGTGATGCGCGGTCCAGATGACGAGCACCGCAAAAAACAGTTTGGAAAGCCAAAGTCAGAGTGTAAGATGTACCGCGCATAAAAGTGACAACTCAACAGTCAGTTCTTTGGTGTTACGGTTGCTCTTGTCACTATGAAGCCGGAATGCTGCTGACTAGGGCAACCGTGGACGAAGAGGCTGGACCAGAAGAGCAAAAAGTGAGAGCTACTGAATTGGGAGGAATACCGGTAAGCGGGAATCATCAGGGTGGATTGACAGAAGGGTATGCACTTGACTGCGACATGTTGACACTTCGGGTGTCCTCAGTCTCATCGCCAATTTCGTGAAGGCTTCCATACTGGACGAATTTTATCAAATGACTGTTACCCTTTTATAATTTGGGTTGGGACTTCGCTAACAGTGCTCAATATGGTGGACACTCTCCCGACATTCGAGAGACGTGGTCGGAAAACCGCACATCGTCACTATGCTGGACGCGCATTCGGCCACTGCCGGATATTCGTTTACGTATGACTCCATTTTTGATTCGATGGGTCGGCTTGATACAGCACTGCTAACTGGGAGAAGAAACGTCCGCGGAACAGATAGGTTACCTAATTTTAGGAGGTGGCCGTATACAAGGGCTATAAGCCTCAACAATTTAACATCTTTTCGGTGCCACAGAATAGAAGGACACCTCGGTAATTCTTTAGGGTATTCAATGCGCAGCCTAAAAACAATAATCCAACACTTGCTAATTGAGTGAACAGGTAGACGCTTTCCAGCAGACTACCGGTTTTTCTGAAGAATTTGGAGTAATCTCTACCCGGTCTCCCAGCGTGAATTTCCACTCTGAAGACACGTATTGAAGGTCACAAAGACCCACCGTCCTATCTTGGAGATTCGACAGTGTTTGCATTTAAGGTGGGGAAGAGACAGAAAGGACTATGTCATCTTGCCATTCAATATCTGGTAAGAGACCAATCTTGGTGTGGAGAGCGCCTGAGACACTTTTTCATATATTCATTCTGCTCTCCAAATGGAAAATGTTCGTAAACTATTGACATTTGGTGGAGCCAATAGTTTCACAAGGTGTTCAGAGCTACCGCACCAGAAGGTAACCCTTGAATACTTTCATCGGACCCGCCCAAGAAAGACGAAGGTTCTATGAAATACACCATTTGCCAGGAGATACACGTGGATTGTCCAAACACCGGGTACATTGGAAGGTAAGTTGCATGCTCTTTCACAGAACATCTGCTGTAACCCTATAGCGCCATACCTTTTACTTATGGTCCGTGGGAAAAACCGATCGATCGTGCAAACTCTGTTAACTATCTTTTCTGATTTTGCCATCCGGGTCGAAACAGAGAAAGCTACTAAAGTGATGCGGTATGAAGCGAAATATAGCCGTCTGTATCATCTGTATTACTTGTGCGACTGCACTAACTCCAACCCTGTCAAACTGAACTGGTGAGTAAGGAGTGTATCAACTGTCTGCTGTAAATGTTTCTGTGAGCTGGTGGTCATCAACGCCAACTTATTGGGGTAAAACTACGTTCAACGTGATACAGGTTAACCTTTATCACCCAGTTGCACAGCACAGCTATCCGATATCCAGGTTCAGCTTAAGCCGTTGTTTGGAAGCCCAATTAATATGATTCTAACGACTGACAATACACATGGCAGCACTGCATCACGTGTTGATACGGCTCCGCATGTGATGTAACTTGAAAAAGGTGCCCTCCAAAGGACCAGGGTGCGATTAAAGTGCTAAAGGTTTTGAGCATAGACTTTGGGTGATGCCGAGGTTCTTAAGGATGGTTTCCCTGTTTATGGACAGTCAATTTTTAAAAAAACTAATTTTCCACACAGAAGATGCTTCTCTAAGGTCAAAAGAGTTCAAAGGCGATCCAGCCTCTTCATCTTCTCCAGCTTGAGATGTCAGTAGACCTGTAGGACGACAATCGCGTACTGGTATTAGACTTGAAACTTTAGTTCGTTTGGTTGCTGCGTCCGAACTCGTCAAAAACTGCCCGAGCAACATGTGCATCCAGTCAGCAAGTTTCAACAAGTCTTATGGTTTGTTTCGTGATTACTTAGCACCTACAATCAAGCCGTTTGAACCGCTAAATGCACCTTCCGTATATGAATAGGTAAAGTTTCGTAATGCCCATACGCCGCCATAGTCAGTCTTGATATGCAGCCTTCAGGTTTCGACGATCGATGGCGTCTCTCGATAAATATCCGCGTCGGTTGGGCCATTCAGTGGGTCCGCACATCTGCACCAGCCAAAACGGACGTAGTTTTTCACCCTACACCTCGAAAAAAGACGTCCGATTTGGTCAGCTCGATAGGACTTAAGGTTGGATTCGGCCGATTTTATTTTCGTTTACCGAAATGCTCATTGAACAGACCATCAACTCGATTAGATCCAGGTCAGTAAAATAGCCGTGTCGTGCAAACCTATGTCGTTGTTGCTTATGTGCACAGAAATAATTCAATTCGGGTGCATCCAACAACAGTGAGAGGTCTCGCTGGGGTCACCCTTAGGCCCCGTGCTAGCCATATTCATGACAGAAACGAAAATTGAAGCACCCACGAATTTTTCAGCCTCGGAAGAGCTGATAAAAATGTGCGGAGATTTCCCGAACTTTTACACAGACCAACATGAGAATCTAGTTCATTTTAGAAGTGGCTGATAACACAGCCTTTTTAGATGTGAAAGCAGAGACAGCTGAATGGGAGAAGGCCCGGTTAGGGTACAAATAATATGTAAGCCAGATGCCCCGGAGACGGAGGTGCAATTAGCCGGTCAGAACGGAAAGCCTGAAAGGCTTGCGCAGCAGAATTTGCACGCAACACGGGGTCAATTCCAGGATAATTAGGACAGAAATGAATCTATCCGAATCTGCCTTTCAAATAGGATGTCAACAAACTAAACAGACGAAAGTACCTCCGGTGTAATACCTAAGAACTACTACTCAGAGCGTTGTCCTTCAATACCGTTTCGGTCTAAACCGCACGAATTACAGTCACTTTCTGTTCTCGTCTTTTGTAACTACTATTACCATCAAATGCGTGAAGTTGGAATGGAATATGGGGAATGAAATCGAAAAGCTTGGGCTTTGTGACATAAACTTAGGTGAGTGTTTGATAGGAAATACCGCTCTAAAGTTTTGTTCCATCAAATACTCGAACACACTTCAAAGCGTCTGATGAATGGCAACGGAAGACTAGTTTTCAGCGTTTTCACAAGCCTTGGTATTACCGATAATACCAACGATGGAAAATCAGAACTATGCATTCAGTCTTCCAAACTGCTACTGTCAACAGCTTAAGCGTGGCAGTTGAACTTCTCACTGTGTGCGCATAATTCAACATGCAATGTTTACGCTGCTCATAGTACCACGGGTACATCGAAGGTTGGCGCTAACCCAAATAGACTATCTCGCACAAATATCCATCCATCGAACAATGGGTGCTTGTGTTACAAGCAAATTCCACAGTGTATATGATTCACTGAATAGTCCCTTTCATTTACGAAGTGGCTTTCAAAGTAAACACCCAGAGAATTACTAAAGAAAGGTAGGGCATTGTAAGTTCCCGTTACTCTGGTTACACTTCAAACAAGTCCATAGTGTGGACCACTGCACGAAGGTAGTGTTGTATCGACTCTATCATTGGACTTATTTAGTAAGGAAACGCAGACTGCTATAGCTATTCAAAAAGCATAACCATGGAGAATTCGGTGAAAATTCAATATCAGAACGTGAGAATGAGTTCGGCGAGAGTTTGACAGAAGCGTCGTTTACAAGTTTGCTTGAATCGAGAATCCCAGGGGGCCCGCCAGACAACCGTTGTTTATCAAAGAAAACCTCATTAATCACAACCGGCTTTTATTTACACGGGAATAGGGAGAAGGCTTAACTCAATCCACAACCGTAGGGCGAAGAAAATACCGGGACCGCTTGTACACACACAGATTCTGGTGAGGAACGGAACAAAACATATGTAGCTTGATAAGAAATCACGGGTATTTAAAACGAGAGCACAATATATCAAGGTACAATTGTCAACAACATATGAACAGGAAGATTTTCACGAAGGACATTGTAATGAAAGGGGAGCGGTGAAAAGTCGGGAAACTACCTATCCATAGGTTTTCATCAATTAGCTTGAGCCATACAGTCGCTTTGAGGAAGCAACATTTCTGTTCTCCTATCTCATAATAATTGCCCGTCACTTAAGATTGCTCTGTCGATTTTTCGCGCCTCAGACATGACATTTGTATGAACTCCGAAAAACCTTGTGCGAATTTCTCCATCCATATCAGCGTACGTGTTGTCAAACAGACAAAAAACCTCCTTTCATTCTAACCTGCCTGTCCATTGTGTAGCGAGCTGTGAATCGCTCACTTATAGCTTATTCCCACTAGTGCCAGTTTGTCAAACCACTACGGATGCCATTTCATGAAGCGTCCCCCTACTTTGTTCCCGCAAGGGGACTTGAAGAATTACCTACAATGGACCTTCGTGATCCGAATACAAGATTGGTTTGAATCCTAATCATACCATCAAAAGCAACACCCAGTGAGAGGTCTGAAACCATTTTAATAATGTGGTTGGTGTCAAACTTCACACAGCAAAATATACGTTCAGGCGGTCAGCGAAACAGAAAGAAGCTGCAACGGTTAGGTTTCGCTAATAAATCCAAACATGGATTTTGGCTTCACATACATACGATAGCTATTCAGAAAGCAGTGATTACTGGCGGAAATCTCTTTCAGTAAACTCATTCATAGGGTCGTTCCAAGAGTTAGAGGGAGCGACTAGGGGTAAACACGTAACTGTCTTTTAGCGAAGAGGGATGCAATGTTGCAAAGAGAGCGAAGAAGTTTAAGGTGTATTTCCACACTGTGAGAACTTCACTAAGAGGCTCACGGAAATAACTGAGGTATCGCTAGGTGCAATGTGTCTTGTTGGTGTCTTGTGTTGCTTTACACGATAGTGATTCAATCCTACCTGACCCCTGGTAAAAATCGCACATAACTGTTGGTGCCACCATAGATCACAACCTACCTTGAGCATTGAGCAGATAGTGTTCCTCGGTAGCCCATTCAAAGATAACTCTGTCAGCCGTTCCTGTAGGTCCTTCATCCGGAACGAAGATTGCTGTTCGAAGACGTCAAAAATCGCATCCCGGAGCTGCAAATAGGTATGGACAATGGAAAGAGCTCGTATAGTACAGGTACAATGAAATCAAAAGAAAAATGGACGTCTTCTATAATACTATGGTTCACACAAACCTCCAGGAGCTGTAGAAAATTGAATTCGCTAACCCGTTGGTCGCGGTTTTTTTTCAGACGTCGGGAAAAGGCGGCTGATTGTGAAGACGGAGTAACTCCCCCAACAGTTCTTTGCGTTTAGTTCTGCTCACCAACCCCACCAGGAGTCAACACTTTGGAATTGTCTCTAATTTCCACTTATTTGGACAACTTCACCCCTAAATTATCTATTAGAAGTCTTTTCTGGATCAGTTGCCAAATAAACACATTAGGAAAGCGGGAGACCACTGTGATGCAAATAAACTGACAGCCGAGAGACGAATGGTTGGGGTTCATATGTACTATGTGTACTTCATTAGTTTCGTGACGATCACATGCTTCAGGCGACAGGTTCTGCGTCAAGTCCGCTACAAACACGCTTGAGTTCGTTTTTCGCTTCGTCGCCAGGCCATTGTATGGTTCGCTTTCCGGTAGGCGATTTTATGTCTCAACAGGATTAAAGTTTTGAAAAGCATCTGTCTCAATTAGCTTTTTTGTTCATTCAGAACTCCATCTCCAAACTGAAGTAGGGCTTTACTATCATTCAGCAGACTAGCAAAGACAGGATGATGCCCTTGTTTCCTCAGCAAAGTAAAGCTTTCCTTTAATTCCTCGATATCGTGAGTCAAAGTAATCCAGACGTAACTTTTTTTCTACTGCTTGGAAAAGTAAAAATACCCCTGCACTCACAGCTTTGGTTCGCATTCCCACGTATTCTACTAGGACTTCTGATGAGTAGAACTTTCTCTCATGTATGTGTATGCCTTAGGGTTTCCACTAAAACTGTGGATGTGTAATCCTCGCAGATAATTCTACCGGAGATTTCCACTTATGGGTCTTCGAAACCAGCACTAGAATATTGCGATCAATATAAGTTTTATGAAGCATTCGTAGTAATTGTGTTGTAAATCGTGTGGTATACTCAACGGTCACCTCTAAGACATTCCTACAGGAATTCACCGACGTGGATGTTACCACGAAACTGACAAATCACAAACAGTGCGGAGCGCCTGAACATGAAATCTAAATTCTTCAAAGGCGCTGTGGAACGATCTTTAGTGGGACTTGTCATCTTGCTTAAAGTGCCAGTATAATCACTTTTCATCAGACGAAGCAGTGTTAGATTCAAAGGCTTGTCTTACATCAATGAACCAAATGAGTTGAAATGGAAGCTCGTGGAAAGCCCTACTTGCTTCATTGGCTTACCATTCGTCGATCTTCGGAGACAGCTCCGCATTCATTGCCAGCAACACGTGTGGCGAAAAGTGGCTCCTCTGGCCGGGCATCAGAAGATGTCGGCCAAACAACACGCAGCTGTCTTGCGTCAGTGTGGCTGAGAGCCTCCAAGATTTTCGGTTTGAGCAGCTCCCGTTCTGCTTCCGAACCTGGTGGTGGAAGTGGTTCCTCATCTGCAAGAAGCTCCTGAAGGAAGTTCGCTGACTGGTTGTGAATAGGCATGGGAAGGCGGTACCTGTTAGAGATGCAGGTCGTTCGCCCTTGGCTTTCGTAATAAGCAGGATCTAAACATGACTATGCAATAACAACCCATATCTAGTTCAATTAGAACTGTCGGAAGATGAAAGGGCACTCAGCAGCGCAAATGCCATTGTGTGCTATTAAAACCAAACAAGCATAGGATTTACGTTCTCAAACTTCTCTCATACGCCTTGTTTCAGGATGTTCTTCACGGTTCCTAGCCAAAACACGAGGGATAGGGAAGAAAATAACAATTGGGCTTGGATTTGCCCCGCTAAAGGCCCATCAGCTTCTTGATTTTTAACGTATCAGTAGAGGATGTCTCACCCTGAAACCAGAGACAGTCACCATAAAGCAAAGTTACGGATACCGAATGCGGCTATTTGTAGATGACATTGGTATTCTCTATGAAGTAATCCCTTTAATCAAGCGTTTTCTGGGTGATAATAGGTTTCTGATGAACCACAAACTCAACAAACTGTGCAACATACGGAATGTGTCCTTTAGCTGGTTCAACCACGCGACCAACTAATAGTAAGTGCATCATCATCATCAAAGACAGCAACATCAGTGTTGACATTGATGCTTCACTGCCGTAAGTATATGCACTACCACAGAAAGGACTATTGTGATTTTAGGTGAGGGCTGTGAGTACTGACACAGTATACCAAAGCAAAGTACAGCATTGTGATACACTACTCTCGACTGCTTCAGCAAGCAATGACGTAAGATGTCACAGAGCTGACACAATCTGCACCCATCTAACACCGTGGCATAAATCATCTTATATACTCCGCAATTAACACACAACAAGATAGCTTAAATCGTAAGTCTTGTTGGATGATGGGAGATGAGTTAACCAAAAGACTTCAGATACGTGCGTGTTTTTTGTCCTTCAGGATAAAGTGTTTCTGTAAAGTTTGACTACTACCGCTCAATGAATGCGGTTAGACAATAATGGTCACCTGCAATCGAGAAAGACAGCTGGCCGAATTGATTTCAAGCCTCAATCACTGCTCAAGTTTGGGGTCGAACAGGCTAAATGAAGACGAACATGAGCAGCAACTCATGTTTGTCAAATATGAACTGCATTTGTGGTAACGGCAGACGCAACAATCCAATGAGGAAAATTGCACAGGTACAATACAGCTGATCATCAGAAACGATGGGCATGACTAGTCATTGAGTTTATTGTTTTATGGTCGGATGATAAACATATTAAGGGAACACGAGCCATTGTGCTCAGATAGGCAGTATGTTGACAGCACCCTCGTCAGTAAGGGTAAGTTCATCGCTGTGGACCGTTGCCGATTGGTGACTGTTTCATCTACGGCTAGTCCGGTTGTCATTAATTTAGTTTGGAGAAATCATCACCATACTGAAGCGGTGTAGCGATGCTGGAATTTCAATAAGTCAAGCATCTAAAAACACTTCTCAAGCTGCAAAGCAGCTCTCACACAGTAGCTTCAAACGAGTAAGATCGCAATAGAAGATTGTGTTTCCAGTTTTCTATCTTTCCAGGAATCAGGATCTATATTACCTGAGTGATTTTAGCTAAAGCAGACAGACTGATAATCGGGACCATGCTTAGTTTTTCCTGCACAAATGCAACGAGCCGGCTGTCTGGTGCGGGATGTTTGGGAGGATTCGATAGGGAGTCGTTCACGTGATTCAGATCCATAGGCTCTTCCTTGACGGAAAGTATGAATGAAGCGATTCCATCCACTTCTCCGGGAACTGGTCGCACACAAGGACTGGTCGGTTCCGGCTTGCAGACTGGAGATGAACAGACTGCAATAAATAAAGAAATGAGGCAGTGCTACTTCGGTAAACTAGGTACCCTGCACTTCCATGTAGTAACTGAGATAAGGGAAAAACCGCCATTAAATGAATGAAGTAAGTAGACCAGGATAATTGGGCGGTATAATAAACTAAAACAAATGGGTCCTTTGGACGTTTGAGTGACCGGGCGGACTGGAGACCAATTGTGACTAGCTGGCATAACCACTTTCTATTAGTCCATAAAACTAAGGTTGCTTTAAAAATTATAAGAAAACCGATCGAAGCGCAAATATTGAAGAGCTATGGACTTGTACAAACTGATGCAATGTGCATCAGGAGAGATTGGGTCTACCAGTAAGAAATGGACTACTAAATTTACTCAAATGTATTAGCGAAGAATCCAAAAAAGAAATTGTTCCAATATGGATCTGCGGGGTCTACCTTTGACAAAACAAGTCAAAAACCAAGCCATCCATACATCGATTCTGTCTAGGATGAGGAGTTCGCTGGTTTCATCCTCGAATTGTGGAAACGCGCTTGTGTTTGCCTATCCTATCAGAAATAAATGTTTCAATGCGGCTGGAGAAGTCAAGACAATTTCCCACCTAATAACATATAACTGACCATCGATCAGAGTTGACAAATAACTGATCCTTGTGTAAAAAATTACAGCAGGTTACCTCGGAAGTGAAAAGTAGAGATGAGAAGTCCGTGCTGACGTGAAAAGTTTTGGAATCAACAACAGAACAAATTTTGATCCCACCCAGTCTGAACTTTACACTTTAGGGGTATAAAGCCCATGCCAAACCAAGAGATGGAATTACTCAGGTTATTTTCAATAATTTGGATTTTTGAAGGATCTAAGCCAAGGAGAGCAATGCTGTCCCAGGAACATTTCAGAGAAAGGTAGAAAAATTTCAATTAGCGTACCGATAACAAAGTTGAAGAGAAAAGTGAAAAAAGGCGGTTTTGTGGACTAATGAACTTAGGCGAAAGTCTGCCTCGTACGCGTCCACAGGAGTTCGCATACAGTGCCTTTATAAGGGATATAAATATGAAAGGGACACACTCGACCTCCAGATACCGCCAGTTCCTCACGAGCAGCATGGTCAACAGCAGCCTTCAGGTCAATAGAAACGATCAACGTGGGACGTTTGAAATGAACTCCAACTCGACAAGCGTCCAGAGCTGGCAGTTGATTGTACTAAACTGTTGCTCACGAGGAATGCCTTCGCGGGCCCCCTTCGAACTGGTCTCTTCCAGGATTGCCGTATTGACGTTATTTTTCAGTGGAAATTTCACAGTAACAACGCAAAACCACTGGAGATTATTGCCTGGAGCAGATCATTCGGCGTTTTATAAATTGTACTAGGAACAGACAATCGAGCATAGACTTCTCCGAAATAACATCGGTCGATTTTCGATATGAAGCAAGCTCTCGACGAACCGAAAGAAGACAGCAGCACAAGCGTCTCAAAGTAGCGCAAACAAGTGTACAAGATCCATATCCTGAAGCCCTGTGAAATCCATCCAGAGTAAGGGTGCTCAGACATCAGGCACCTCGTTAAGCCAACCCTATGTGTGCTGACTAGCTCATTTGCCCTCGTGGAGCAATTTAAATTGACAGGACGACGGGGGCTTTGTGAAGAGAGGCATCTTGACACATTTTTGTGGCCGGCAAACAGGGGCAAGTAACAATTCTTTTTCAGTATATCCAACAGAATGGGGACATCGAGATTTTGAGAGGGCATTTACCAGATTGGCTCAAAATTACCAGAGGAAAGGACCAGCGCCCTTCTTGGGACTCAGCGGGTAGGCGTAGGCGCAGTTTCCATCGACTTCATGTTACACTTAAACAACAAATCGTGTCCAACCGGCGAAGTATAATAATTGGCAAAGTTGGTGTTCAAACCTGGAAACTTAATGAATACCAACTGAGGCCTCGCTTACAAATAATTTCAAAAGAGAGGTTCAGGTGCGAATCAATCCAGTCTCCCGTTAACATCGAATAAATTCTCAGATGAGTGAAATTCGCCGACGGCGTACAACTTAGTTTTCAAGTAGGGCATGCAGTGGATGAATACTTCTGTGTTCTCCAACTCGTCTGTCTCCGAACGTCAAAGCAATGTAACTTGTACTGGATTTCACTACGCTTTATGAGAATTTACGACTGTCGTTTCTGAATAGCTTCCATTGACGCTATTTGCGTACCTTGCTTGTTTGGGTCCTGTGCTTCATTTCACAATTGCTCCCTGAATGCAACTGCGAAATAGTCCCCATGAAGTATCGCCTTCCAACATGTATTTAGTTAGGTTCATGGATGCTCTTCCGGTACCGCATTTCGCGACATAGACCTTACTCCACGACAAACCACGAGTGATCCAAAACTATATCTTAAACTGAAAGATCGACTATTGGTGTTCTGTTTGCACCAGCATTCGTTATATCAAACTTGTGGATAGATGACGGACATGTAGCAATAAGCTGCCATCGCACGATGTCACACCAGAGTTAGTGTTGAGAAGGTGGGAGTTACGCCTAATCATGTCCAATGCAGATCAAGATAAAGCTCAACACATTTGAAATACGAATATCTCCTTAGTTTTGAATTCGCAATCTTTTTTCAGTCAGACGAACTGGGTTTTACGGGTCTCGAGTCACTTGATCCGTTCAAGCGTCGAATTGTGCCTCATAACTTACATCGATCAAAAACGCCATGTGCTACTCGAAACATGTGGGTTTCTACTGTGTTTTTATGCGGGTAGACAGATTCACGGGAGGCAAGTCAATCCTTGGGGGTACAAAGTCGCTGACTCCGTAGAGGTGAATCTTGGACTATCCAGGGATGAGAAATCCCAAGGGAATCCAGCATGCAATACGCGGTATGGACACTTCCGAGTAGCAGCCTCTTATTTTTATTTATCCTTTGGGGGGAGGCGGGGGATAGACGAACTCCTCTGGAGGAATACAGTGTGAGCTCCATGAACTTCCAGGTACCGGACACGACCGCGGTAACTAAGCTTCAAAATTGGTTGACTGAAACTTGAAAAGGGTTAGTCAAAAGTGAACAAGAACAAGGAACGAAAGAAGCCATTAGGATTCTCGATAACCGCAGTGATAATGAATAAAAGTTCGTGCATAACAAAATGACGGCATGCTGTTTCAATTCGCTAAGCCCAAACAGGACAAAATGTGTATTACGGTACCAGCACCTTTCAGGCTCCGGTTGAAAAGAAGCTGTGTTAAAGTATAAGCTATGTGTCAACTCACCAGTTTCACTCGTTTCCGGATTAACTGGCGATACTGCTTGAAGAATTGGAGACTCGCGGTGAGGTGTGGTTTTCTTGCGGAGTACTTGCTGCTTACTGATTGGGGTTGTCGTTAGTGATGTGAGGGGTGGAGAGAGAATTTTCGAGACCGGAGGGCTGGTTGGAACAGAGAAGGTGTGGGGATCAGGTGTGGGTATACGCGGTTCAATGCCTTTGCTGGGCAACTGTAACTGTGGCATTTGAATCGGGGAAACCACGGTTGATGTGGCAGACAAGCTCTGAGTTCGTGCGCGCTTTCTAGCCGGTTGGCACGATACGTTCGATTCAGATTTATCACCCGACTCTGAAGTTTGTGAAAGACTGAGCTGACGTCGCCGTCGGGAGGTTGTGGGTGTTTTTCTTCCACCTGAGGAGACATGAACCCCCGAAATTAGAGAGCGGATTTCCAACTCTGCCTCAGACTCACTTTCGGAAGAGATTCGGCCGGAACAGCGACGCCTCCGACGTGTTCCATCTGTGTGTGGAACAAAAAATCCATATGCGATACAGAATACAGAGCGCCAAAGTGGAATGTACCGATGGAAGATATCATTATCTGTTATGCTGTATTATCGCCTTCAATAAACAGGAGCACACGTGCACCAACTTATTGGGCGAGACGGACAACGGCCATCAGTTGAAGCTAAAAAGGACACCTGTCATTCTGGGCAGCATTATTTCCGCATTCGAAAAGTTCCATAACACCTTAATTCGGTAGATGAAATGTCCTAAGCCGCACTATGTAATTGGGGACGTGGAGAAAAACACACCAGGTGGATGTAGACGAGCGCTTCTTAGTTTGGTGAACTTTGAGTCAAAATCGTTATGCGTGATGCGCTAAGTTAAGTCAGGAGGTTCTTATCGGTTGATTCCAACAGGAACATATGTGATGTACATGTGAAAATCTGCTAGTGCAAACCAATGTATCCTGTTCAGGTAATGAATATCCGAACTACAGCACAGCTCTTCAAGTTTAGGAGTGGCCTCCCAAAACATGGTCAGAAGAACGTATGCGACAACATTTCAGTCAGCCCCAACCACTGGGGACAAATCGATCCATACGAAAGACCAACAGAATACGGACGAAAGGTGAATCCCCTTCGCACTAATCATTGGTGATAGAACGTTCATTCTACAAAACGGAAAGCTCGACATCTATCACTTTATGATGTACTTAAGAGCCAGTGTGAGAACAAACAAGTAGAATATATGTAAGTGAAATAGAGAATCAGTTAAAGTAAAACGGTATATAATGAAGGCGAAGTAAAGTAGGACAAAGGTACCATACGTTAAACAAGAAACCAGTCGGCAGCACAAAACTGCTTCAGACCGTTGAAGCTTCCGATTGACTGAATGACGACCAAAGCAGATGATCACTAGAATAATGTTTAACATAATCATCATTGTCAGCTGTAATAACCGCGTACTCGTCGTACAGTGGTTGTGACTGCCGCAGTTTCGTTCACCGATGATTTCTTTTTTTTTTGGGGGGGGGGGGGGCAGGTAGCTGCGCATTGCAAGCGGGGGCTGATAAATTGATGATAAATTGGTGCATAAATCCAGCACTGTCAGCGGGGGGGGGGTTGGAAAAGGAGCTATGCATTGGAGGCAATAGCTTGGATGCACGAGCGCCAGTGAGGGCGCGACTGGGCCATGTCTGACAATGTCTCTAACATACAATGATAGAAAGAAAGCAAACGTCTGAGAAATAGTCAATGGTCACCTTGGTGCGAGACTCTGCGTAAAGCCAAGCTGAAAGCTTCTTGGTACATTTGGAATTCTGTTATTGAAATTAACTCCCTAGATGACTGTCCTCCGTCAATTCTGTATCCCTAGCGAAAAAGGACAAATAGGATGTTACATGAACTCACCTGAAACAAGACGTTCTAATTTCAGCTGTCCACAAAGCTGTCGAATTCGTGCTTCCCAGGTAAGGTGTTGTTGTTGAACCACATCTGGATACCTGAGACAAAGAAGAGGTGATGGTGGTATCGAAAGAAATTATGGAAAATGAATCCAGCACTCTCTAAGACAGAAAAACACATTCGATTTTGGAGCACAACAGGCTTCTAGTAGATGAGCCAGAGAAAGTTTATGAGTGGTCCGGTGATCGATTTGTTGATTCTTGCGTGGTCACGCTGTGGATTAGAACCCTATCTGAGCTCATTTGATGTTGGCTTGTGGAGTGAATGGGTACACATCAAAGCTAAGGTTCACTTACTTGCGAACGAAGTCAGTATCCAATGGATGGAATTCCCAGTGATTCACGTGCCCCTTCTGAGTGGCGTTCATCTTCCGGGCCACAAGCTTCAATATCTCTGTTGCTTCCAAGGCAGGCAACTGCAGTGAAAAAATGTGGGCACACAGCGCGTACTAGCTACGATAATCCGAAACCGAGCACAAGGAATAGAGCCTCGAATCAGGACAATGTACTAGTAAAACGTGCGCTGAATAGGCTGTGGCTGAAATGAGGTTGACTATGCATAACTGACGGTAGAAAGCGTATGAAGTCAGTCGCAAAGTGAAATGAACCAATTGTACATATTCGGAGATACGGATTTCAAAAATGCGCCGCGATGTGAAGCTAGAAGTTCATAGATGCATATATCTCATTCAACTTCCATAAAAAACAACTTCTCAAGAGAGCAACCACCCATTCAATGACAAAGTCCTCATTGGCAACGTCAACGTAACTGCTGGCATAGCATATTTGCACTAGCCATTCTCAAAAGATCTGCGGAACAAACCGGGTGAATGGTGATTTCAGTGGGAGGGACCCACCCGATAACAAATTGATGCATATGACTTAGGGGGCACATGACGCGTTAAGGTGGTCAAGACAAACACACGGACGCTAAGGTTTAAAAGATACGAGTTAATTTTCGATGCAAAGAGCTGATTTGGTCCGAAAATATCAGGTGCACTGGAAGTTCTGGGTCTGAAAGATCATCAACATTGATAGGAGCGATTTCTTCAGACTGATAGCACCCATCGGAATGAGTGAAAATAATTCGCATTTGGGAGTATCCAGAAGAAAGGCATCCTCATCCAGCCTATTGCATAAAGCTGTATGCATTTCACCAGTGAGATGGCTGCAAACGAACAAATGTCGGTCACAGGAGGTAGTTTATTGGATAAAGTTCAGAGTGAATTTATACATCGTGGTGCAACATATAAAAATAATGTCAAAACGTTAACCTCTAGGAGTGGAATTTATCTTTGACACGCTATTGCAGGTTAGTTTAGACCGATATCCTTGAGCTAAGTCTAGATTGTGTTTGATTAGGTCACTGCCACCAGTGTATGAATGTGCACAAACCGCGGTGAAAGATTTCCCAGCATTGCCAATGCACAGCAGCATTTTTCTGAAATCGTACTCTAATTTTTTCGTTATCGAGAGAAAGAATTAATCCAGAGCTTTCGCATGAGTATGCATGCACCCTGAGACATGGACACAGGATATAAATCAAACAATGAAGCTTGCTTCTGGTTGGACAGCAGCCGTGCCACATAACCAAAAGAAAACAGAATTTCGACGGGCACCAGAAAAAAGAAAGAGAAAAGAGAAAGTAGCTTCGAAATTCATCTTTCCGAAAAACGACGGAAGCGGTAAGTCCAACCAGACAAAATCTTTCAAACAATAACCGTGTGATCCGATTTCGTCATGCACATAAGATCATAGGTCCATATAATGCCTACTCTTCACAGTACTCCAAATGTGAAAAACAACCACTTCATCTGGACCAACCCCTCACAGCTACAAATAGCAGTTGCAGGTTACATGTTCACCTAAAATGTTTAATCACGGTCGAAATATTGAAATCTTGGGTGTACCAACAGATGTAAACTTTTCGACCAATCAAGATAGAAAAACATGGTAATTACTGTGTATCAGCTGTTCCCACAAGACCATCACTAATACACAGTGAGAATAAAACTGACTCAGTCAGTTAGTTTCGTTTTGAAGCAGTGTCAAAAGAATAGAAACAGCGAAGAAATCGATCTCCATCCACAAGAATATGTGGTGGCATCCTTCTGTTTGAAAAGATCGTAACTTACTATGACGACCATGAAATTCCATTGATTAGGAGACTGATTGGTTCAGGAGAGTGTACAAAAGCCGCTCGAATGAACAACGCCCGGTTGACAGAGCTAAGCTCGATATGACTCAGGCACGAACCTAGTGATAGGAGGGTCCGTCGTTCGAACTCAACCTCGGCATCCCAACTGCTAGTACCTAGGCTTGAGCGATATGGCACTATCTCAAGCCTCGAGCTTCAGAGTGCACGGTGAGTAGGCACCGATAAGGTGTGAAAGCTGAACGATAACTACCACTGATGACAAAAAAGTTATGCTGGAATCAAAATAGGCTCTCAAGAGTTACTACTTCCATTGATTCGAAACCACTCGAGAACCCCAATTCACTTCGTATAATGCACCGCTTCTATGGGCTGTGGCACTTCAAGCCTCAAGGTAGCGTTCACTTAGAGAAGACTGCCAACCAATGTCGCTTCGTTACTGTTGCTTACTGTGGTTTTCAAGTGACCGTTTCTTCTCCCCTACTATGCACTTCACCTAAATATAAAAAAACACGGAGGCAATACTGGACAACTTTTCTGCGGAAACCGTGAAGTCATCATTGATTTAAGGGGGAACTGTGTTGTTCTCGGAAAAGTCACCATTCACTGACATACAGTCTACAGAAGAGCATACCGCAGACTCACAAATTTTTAAAGACGGTTTCTTACTTTACTTTTCATCCCTAGACCAAATGTGCGTGGATAGCGATCATATGCAGCAGCTTCTTGTTCAATGCTGCAGTAACCTTACGGCTACGTTGATCAAAACTAAGCCCTTCAAGGTCCAATCATTCCAGAAAGACCCATGAACAGAAGCCCGATGATAACCAGCGAGTCTCCAAACTGCGAGGAATCCTGGTACAAGGTCGTCTGGAGACAAAATTACACCACTCGCTATGACATAACTTTAAAAAGTGTAAGCTGTTTTTCTCAGCACATCAATGCCTATGGGCGCAGCGAGGTTACCTTCCTCAGAGGAAGAAGGGTTTAGAAAAGATTGCCTCTAAAGCCTGCATCGTTTAACGCACAAATTGACAGCAAGGCACATAATCTAATACGGGCGAAAAGCGAGCATATCTTCTCAACAGGGCTCCAAACTTATCCGCTATGTGCAACAGCAGCAAGTGAGGGGGCCATTAGCCGCACAATGCTCTTAATTGCAAAACCTTTACAAGTGGAGTAAAACGTTTTGCGCCAAAATGTTGCATTTTGTTGCGTATGTGCTCAAACCAAAAACCATCCTAATCTACGTTCATACTTTCGCAGCTCATCAAATTTCATTGTCCACTGAAGCAGTCATACCTCTGGCGGAAAAGTTTGGCGGAATAATTTTCCCAGCATCGCTGAGACCACGGGATGCCTAAGTGGGGCTCAAAAGCTTGAACTGGTACTCTGAACTCAATCGATTGATTGCTTCAGCCCATCAGGGGCACGTCATAGCTTTCGGAAATTCAATTCCATTGTGCGAATACTGATTGCCACAAGTGAGCCGTCCACGCCTTCATCCCTACATCCTCCAGCTAGACAAGCCCCTTGCAGCTGAGCCGGTCAAGCCATTGAATAACTAGCTGCGAGATAGGTACGCGAACAAAACACCGAATGTTTCCACTGCCCTGTGAGTAAGAACTTTGAGTAAAGGCTTTCTGGTCTGTGTAACCGGGGTGTGCCATCCACCCTTGCAACTCTTCGTCAACCGATTTCCCATCTTCAACCAAACCTCTCTGATTCATTTAGTTGACTGAATGGTAGGTCTGTATGGAGATAATGGGTAACTAAAAGGTGACTAAATCTGTACATGTGATTATCTACTGAAACGACCAATAGTATTGGTTACTTTAGCTTACAGATTAATAGATTAGACAACACATACAAAACAAAAACTGTTTGATAGATTTTGCCTCGTCAGTATCAAATTACCAAAAGGAAGAGGAAACTTTTGATGCCTCTACAAGAGCAGGTTATTCACGTAACGAGCTCATTGAGAGAGATACTTGTTCCTGACATCAAAACAGAGGTTAAAAGAGTGTTCGAAATACCACCACCGTTAGCCGGCGTCCAAAAGCCTTGAACCCATTCAACCACGTCTGTCTCAATCAAAAAAGGAGCAAACGATAGCTTGAACTAGCTAGGGTGTGCAAATCAGGCGACCGATTTCCCTAAATCTTACATCTAGTAACCAGCAGATTCAGTGTTAGTGTGGTGTGGTAACAGCATGTCGGCTGAAGACAGGTATCTCGTGAATCAAAAGTGTGACCAGAAAGAGGCAAGTATCTCGTGCCCATTGACAAGGTGTTGCAAAAGACCTGATGTGAAGGACACTTCCATCGACAAAATCAGGATCAAGGGTATTCCAAATAACACCCTGGATCAGAGACTATCGAGCCTAACAAGATTATATACGAAAGACTTCAGACACCCCAATTAAAGTAGATAATTTGCTTGCGCAGTTGTGCAAGCTATCTTCTTTATGAACCACAGAAAGTTAGCCACTGAATAGCTTACCTTGGTCATCGAAGATATGGTCTTTCTGGTTAGGTGTTCGCCACGATGAAACACAGCCAACTGTGAAAATAAGATTGAAATGAACAACAGTCACTCACTAATGGGAAGCGAATATATTGAGTGAAGGCCATGATACACGAAGAACTGAACACTTACAATGTAGTCCCGTGCTCGAATCATCAGCGAACTTGGGACAGCCGCGTGTTCACTGTACATCGTAGGCGGATAGAGAAGTTCGCTGGGAAAGGAAGGAACAGGAATAGAACTCTGAAGATGCGATTTGGTAGAGACTCACCTAATTCCCCGCTTTATGTACTAATCGGAATCAGCAAGTGTTAGCGGATAAGCCATTCATACTATTTGTTTGTTCGTACCTGTTGGAACATGCGGTTCGAACGTGATCAAGTAAATAGTGCACGTAGGTGATGTCAAGTTTCAGCGTTGTCGTGCGGCGTGAGCGGATGAAAAAGTACGCACACTCGTTACTTTCAATGCTACACCAGTCGGAGTGGAGATGTATTAAAGTACCTGATGCTGATGCACACCTAAGGGAATGAGATCCCGTGGCAAAAATGCAAGGTGATATGACATTTTGCCCTAGTAAAGCTCCACTAATCTTTGCTCGTTTATTCACAATGGTGTCCGATATGAAATCCGTCAGCTACGGTACTTTGCATCGGTGTTGCAAGCAGAATCTGCCACTTACCCAAACATCTGTAGTGCACAGATTCCACGCTCAAACAGTACTCGACGGAGCAAAATGGCTCCGTACACACCAATCTCGGTACCAATGCCTGGTTGCTCCAGACACCCAGATGACATACCAGTTTTCGCATGCTTAGTTCACTAAAACGCACTAGACCTTCAGACGGTGTGCTATTAGCGAGGTAGAAACAAGTAAACCACAGGATCTCCCGACAGTTTATTACTGTTTGAGGATAACTGTTTAATGATCGGTATAGCAAAAGTGAATAAAGCAGAATGATTTAGAGGCGTCTGGAACACAAGGAATGTCCACAGAAGAAAAGATACAGTCAGCTGATCTGCGGATTGCTAATACGCTTCATCTGAGCGATCGACGTAGCTATTGTGGATTGTCCTACGGAAATCTGTCTGCCAAAATAACTTTTTCAACCATGTCAAAGTCCTCCAAGTTGGACTTAAAGTCTAAGTTCGAACCTCCTACTGAGTTTCGACAACAGAGTGAACCGAAGCCGTGTCAACCCGAAGCGTCGCTCGGCCACAACACGGTTGTGTAAGTGCGTACTTTACTCACTACTCACTATTGTTGGTCGCGGCCACATTCTGAAGCAGAATTACAGCGGTGGTTGGGAGAGAGATACTTGATTCGATACCTTATCCGAAATACAGAGTGCTATTGAAAAAAATTTGACTCCAAAAACGACGGGAAGTGAATCAGACCGAATTCTTTGCATTATTACGGACAGACTGTCTCCAAGATGGTAGAAATCTAGTCATCCAGACTAGAAATTATCTTTTGAGTACCCAACCCCATAGGTATAACCGATTCTCTGACTGACTACGTACGGCGACAGTAACGGGTATTCATGTAAGAACTATTGACTTGGGTGCCTTTAAAATTACATGCCAATACATCAAGTGACACCGACTGAAACAAGCAAAATGAGAACCCTTTAGAAACCATATTTGCTGGGCGTGTGTGAATGGAATGTAGTCAACCACTACCAAGCCACGAATCACGATAGCTTGTACTGGCGTGAACGGCAAACATCACAATCCCCCAGGGCAGTGAAGCACGTCAGTTAAAAAAGCAGGCTTTTTCTGTAGTCGCTGTTAGTGTTTATACGCCACGGCGAAACGCACACAGCAAACAAATGTGACGTGCGTGTGTGAGTTTTTGCAGCAGCTTCAAGATGTGCCGGTTTGAACAAAAAATCCACACAGCACATAATCTAACGAATGAAACCAAGACACATCAGGCCGCTCATAGTGACTGGTGCCGGAACTGTGATATAGAGTCAACACCTTGATTTCTACACCTCCTTGCATCATGAAAGTTTTCGTACTTGGTCTTCTCTTCACATTTACCTTTATCCACAACATGCTTGAGTAGAAATAGTGTGATCGGTTAAACAAAGCAGTTGTAAAAACTGTTCAGCCTTTCGCACGATTTCTCTGTATTAATATAATGCATCTGAACCATATTTTTTTATACTATTGAGGACGGTCCTAGAATAGCTAACACCCGACGCGTCAGAGACACCGGTGCTTGAACGTCAGAATTCGAAAGGAAATTGACTCAAGCGTTCTAATACTGAGGGGAATTTACCACTTCTTTTTGTTGTCTATGAAGGAAAGCGGTCGAGACGTATGTAACTGTTAAGAAAAAACGGCTTTGATGGCGAAAGACGGTAGGTTTATTCCAGTTATCTCCGATCTATGCACCCGCGCACAATACATAGATTCACATCTAATTGTCAAAAAATTTCAATCTGACGTTTTGGCTCTGGGTTGATGAGTAACTTATGTTCTTTGGTTACAAATAGGGGATAAGGTGGATGAAGTCACGAGGTAAGCACACAGCATTCTCAAGATGACTAAACAAAGTAGGGGTTAACTTCGACAGATACACTCATTTGCAAATCAATCTGTGCACCACATTCAGTTGAAGAACATCATTAATGAGAGATTGCGTTGATTCTTCCGTGAAAACCAAACTGATTTGCAACTGAGTGTATTCGTCGAAGTCAGTTCTATTTGGGTTCAGGTAGAACATTAGGTTGACGAAAACTCGGGAACTGTGCCTACCTGAGGAGCCCCAAGAAGGGCGAAACCGGTCGTGGGCTGTCGAAAAGTTTTCAGGAAGCTCGTGAGTAGCTTCCTTTAGGAAGAAATAATTTAAGAAAATCGAAAGCGTAGGAAGTGTTCTATAAGGATTTCATTTTTTTATTTTTACCGCACGTTCCAATTCTGCGCTGCAAGCAACAGTTGCTAGTCGACCACCTATTTAAGATGGCTGTGCCATACTAAATATTTCGCAAACCATTAATTCGATAGATATTAACCGCTTTTGTTTTACACTGAATTCTTTGATGCGTCAAAAAATACTTCGATTTCCAAAACGACACTACAAATACAACAAAACGCGACTTTTGATAGTAATGAACGATAATGGTCTATGAACTCATGAACCTATATCGGCAGTTCCTCTTGTGGTCTTTCTGATTACATCGGCTGGTAAACGAAGATCCGTTCATTCGACGGTATTATATTGGATATTCATGGGATCAGGGTCAAGTTATGCAGGTAGGAATTCATGTGACGAATGTATACGTTGCTGGC